TAACCAGATATTATATTAATAATACATCACAACAGCAGGTGTCAAGTGCTGTGTGGCAGCTGTTATATTTTTCTGGTCCTTCGGGATCATTGACTACAGCACTTTTAACTTTAAGTGTTGTGAATTGAGTACCGCTCAAGCCCGTGCTAGAGGGTGTGAGCTGTGAGGGATGTTGCACTTTTTCATTATTCCTCATGTACAGACTCTGACATTATCAAACCAAGTCTGCAATTTTCATGTAATTTTGCTGTTTTTAATGCCTCCGAGGGATTTACTTTTTTTGTACCAGATAATTATACTACAGAATTGAGAATATTTTGAATTTTCCAGCAGCTTCTCTGGGGGTAAACTTCTACTATTTATAAATTTCGAAAAAAAAATGCTACAGGTTGGCCAGTCTATTGCAATGGGTGCACTGTGGTGGAAGTTATAACATTAAAACTTTAAAGTATTAATTGTTTTTGGGTGGTGGGATCAGCTTGGGGAAAACCTACATGTTACATGTATCTTACATCAATATAGAGCTAGGATAATATGCACATTTATATGTATACAGTCTGACTACTTAATTTTAGCATTTTGAGAGTAAAATCTCTTAAATCTTCAGAAGAACATATATAAATGAATGCAGGAAAAAAATTGCATAAAGCTTGGCAATGCTAAAGAGTAAGGTTAACATATTACACGCTTGACCAGAAATTTTATTTGTTCTGCCTGCATAGTTGAAAATGTATATCTTAAAATACAATACATATATAAAAGATAATGCATAAAGATTTACAATGTGGTTTGCCTGTTTAAAAAAGGGAAAAAAAAGCTTATTCAGTGCAATGTTCTAACGTTTTAAATGAAATGTAAGAATGTTTCCTTTAACAATTTCAATAACAATGAATGCACTGTGTTATTATCATATCACGTTCAAATAAAACAGAAAGGACATTCTTTATCTGTCCCGGTATACAATGTAGCTATATACCATACATGGTTTGTTGTGGCTATGATAATATTTATGGCTGAGGGCATATTCCAGACATGTTTTGACTTTTCATGTTTTATGTCTAAACATTTACTGATATGATGACATTTAATAAATAAAAGTAAACATTAAATTGAAGTAGCCTTAAGCATTCCTTTGCCTTTATGAATTTAATGGATGTATGCGGACAGTTTAATTGAGTTTTGTGAAAAGAATTTTGAGCCATCATTTTCTGATTTAAAATTTGTGTAAAAAAAAATGAATAAAGGCTTTTCTGACTGGATAGTGCTTTTATGTACATGTATGAATAAAAATAGTTTGCCTTTATTTTGATAACTTAAAGATTAAATGTGTGTTTTTACGTTAAAATATTAAACATTTTCTGTATATGGCCTGTCTTGTCAAAAAGAGAATTTACAGCTTTAATGTTTTATAATATAAAGTAGAGAAAAAACAACTTCCAATTTCACATATAGATACTAGAATTTTATAGTATAACAGCAATGTACAAATTGGGCAATTTTTTACGCTGTTTCATTCTTTTATGTGTTTAGCAAATTGAGCTTATTTTCAAAATTAGTGCTCTCATCTTTAACCCACTTTTTGAGCGATTTACAGCAACTAAAGAGGTCAAAAAAAAATAATAACCTTTACTACATTGTATATACAAAGTGAAATTATGACAAAGTCTGAAAATATGTTAATGTACAACAAGTACCGTTGAAATTCAAAAATCTGCAAACTAAGTTATTTGCATTTTAGATTAGTCAGCCATTTTGAGTATTGAATAATGGTAATAATAGTTTGATTCTTATGAAGTGTAAACTTATGTAAGAGATTTGGGAAAAATCTTGTTTAAACATTTGTAGATCTTTTGTATATAAAAACAAAAGGGGGCTATTTTCTATGCCCTGGTGGAGTATTATTTCATACAAGTACTTGAAAGCAGGCCGCAGGGTTCAGACAGGTGTATAAATATGGTAGAATTAATCAGGCACTGGCCTTAAATACTTAAACCTATTAACATCTATACAAATATTGTGGCTGGTTTATGGATAGTGATCCCCAAGCTTTGTTGATACCATCTCTTATACACATAAAAACTTATGGTCATTGGTTCTTATAAGTGCAGTCTGTCACATAATCAGGTCACAGGTCTGCCGCTTAGTACAAAGTAGTCCTTTAAGTGCAGTATTGTGGCATTTAAGGAGCCACAGACCCAAACTTTATAGACCAAATTAGCCTTGAAGTGCAGTCTTGTGACATTGGCCTAAGACATAAATAAGTAAATGTATCAAAAGAACAAATCAATGCTTTGTTGCTTTAATTTTTAGCTTACCCAAATAGAGTGCTTCATAAAAAAACAACATTTTTGTAACAGCCTGTAAAACATATATGCGACACTCAGATTAAAAGTGTATTAACTGTGATTTTATTTTTAACTGTCTTTCTCAGATGTACAAAGGAACTGAATCTTGCACAATCAGTTCTCAATATGGAGAAAGACAGCCATGAAGTAATTAAAATTAGCATAATTGTGAAATCATGTGATTCTCAGGGGGGAAGATGTTTTTCAATAGAACATACATGAAATTCTCCTTTTATTCAAGAATTTTAACATTGATGTAAAATTGTATCTTTATGATAATCAGATGCCACAAAACTTTCACAGCCTTATTATTGAATGATTTCACCTTACTGCATTTTTATAGTACATTTTATACCTGTTATTAAGTAAAGAGAAAGTTTAATGTATATCTTAAAACAAGCAGCCTTTATTTTCTTTCATAGATAAATGAAATATTGTAACAGCTAAGGTATTTTAACTACCTGCTTTTAACATAACAGGTGAATTGTTCCCGTGTTGGCTAGAGTTAGAGTGGATTAAGAATTGATCATCAAATGAGCCGTGTCATGACAAAACCAACATAATGGGTTTGGGACCAGCATGGATCCAGACCAGCCTGCGCATCCGCGCAGTCTGATCAGGATCCATGCTGTATGCTTATCAATTCTATTACAAGTAGAGAAACTGATAGCGAACAGCATGGATCCTGATCAGACTGCGCGGATGCGCAGGCTGGTCTGGATCCATGCTTGTTGCAAACCCATTATGTTGGTTTTGTCATGGCACGGCTCAAATGGTTTTCTCATAAACCTGTGAATTTCAAAGGAAATCTTTCCAATTGCCCATGATAAGAATCTTACCCACTTCAAAGTGTACATTGCTTTATATATTTTTATGCCCCCGCCATGTAATGGCCGGGGCATATAGTGTTACCCTGTTCCGTCCTTCCGTCCTTCCGTCATTCCGTCCTTCCGTCATTCCGTCCTTCCGTCATTCCGTCATTCTGTCATTCCGTCATCATCAGTTTCCGTTCATTATCTTAGTAACGGTTGCACATATCCAACTCAAATTGGACATATGGATATGTCATGAGAAAATACAGGTCAAGTTCGAATTTGGTCATGGTTCGATGATTTTTGGCAGAGTTATGCCCCTTTTACTTTGAAAATAATATGAAATTTTCAGTTTCCGTTCATTATCTCCCCAACGGTACAACTCATTCAACTCAAATTTTACTTATGGATATGTCATGAGAAAATACAGGTCAAGTTCGAATTTTGTCATGGTTCGATGATTTTTGGCAGAGTTATGCCCCTTTTACTTTGAAAATAATATGAAATTTTGAGTTTCCGTTCATTATCTCCACAACGGTACAACACATTCAACTCAAATTTGACATATGGATATGTCATTAGAAAATACAGGTCAAGTTCGAATTTTGTCATGGTTCGATGATTTTTGGCAGAGTTATGCCCCTTTTACTTTGAAAATAATATGAAATTTTGAGTTTCCGTTCATTATCTCCCCAACGGTACAACATTTTCAACTCAAATTTGACATATGGATATGTCATGAGAAAATACAGGTCAAGTTCGAATTTGGTCATGGTTCGATGATTTTTGGCAGAGTTATGCTCCTTTTACTTTGAAAATAATATGAAATTTTCAGTTTCTGTTTATTATCTCCCCAACAGTACAACACATTCAACTCAAATTTGACATATGGATATGTTTTTGGAATGCCCAGGCCCAGTTCGAATTTGTTCATTGTTCAATGATTTTTGGCAGAGTAATGCCCCTTTCACTTTGAAATTAATATGAAATTTACAGTTTCTGTTCATTATCTACCCAGCAGTGTTACATATTCAACTCAAATTTGACATATGGATATGTCAAAGGAATGGGCAGGTCAAGTTGGAATTTGGTCATGGTTCGATGATTTTTTTGGCAGAGTTATGTCCCTTTCACTTTGAAAATAATATAGATACATCTTAGGAATAAACAGTTTAAGTTTGAATTTTGTCGTGGTTCAATGATTTTGGACAAACTTATCTTTCTTGAATATTGGAAAAATTTTGAACTTTCAGTTTCAGCACTCATACTTTTGTGGAAATGTATGTAGCCATTATTTTGGCTACAAATATGAAATATGCTATTTTCAAAAGGTTAAGACTGAATAATTTCAGTGCCTTGAACATTGTATGGAAATGGTTTGTGTTAACATTGAAAAGTTTTAAGGGCTTTGAACTTTAAATGAAAACAATAATTTGTGCAAACAAATTTGGAACTAAATATTATAACATCTGAAATTTTGGCTGCATGCGGGGGCATCCGTGGCATGATGACACATTTCTAGTTGTAATCAGCAGTAATGCAAAGGTGAATTTTCAATCTCATTTACAGTGATATTGTTCTTATTTTCTTAGCATTTTGGTAACAAACAGCTTTAAGTCCACCAACAACATGTAGTTAGTTGTGAAATTAGGTGTAAATGGAGAGATGGTCACAACAGCCAAATTTTGAATTTTATGTTTAATAGCAATTTTTAGTGATTTGGTCTTGATTCTGAAATACTTATTAATGATGATGATTATGAGGAGTAATATACATGTATTCCATTACATACATTGCATATAGAGATGTTTATTAAATGAGTCATGTTCGTCTATATTTTCAGAAGCACTAAAATGTGATGAGCAAGGGAAGTTTGGTTGGAGATGTAGATTTACCTGCAGGTGTTCAGATGGACAGGATTGTGATAAAGATACTGGGCATTGTGTGAACGGTTGTGCCCAGGGATACTATGGCACTGGATGTCAATTTAGTGAGTAGCCTGGTTGATTTAAAAGTAATGGGAAAAACACATGTAGATTATGAATAATATATGAACATATTTATATTACATAACTTTGTAGAGTAGCAGAATTATATAAATCTAGGTCTCATATATCATCAATTGTAGTAAAATTTTAAATAATTTCTGAAATTGCTGTTTAATGTATATAAATGATTTGGAAATTATCTGATACTGGATTTAAATACATCTGAAATATATACTGGTAATGTTCCTTTGCAGAAAATGAATTTATTTATGGCGGAAAAAGAGGCAAAAGGTATATGGGACTCATTGACCGAACTGGCAACAATAAAAAATGTTTGAGTTGGGATGATTTTAAAGTAAGATCAGAACGAAAGACCTTTCGCAAGAACAACTTCCCTGATCAGGAAGTGCCCGGACCTTACTGCAGAAACCCCCTCGACCCAGATCATAAAGCTTACTCTGAATCTCCATGGTGCTACACTCTCGATAATAAAACAGATACGATAGAATTTGACTCCTGTACACAGTTAAAAGTAACAGGTATGGTTGTTGTTGTAGTTTTATCATTTGATTCTGGTCCATTGCAACATTAAGGAAAAAAACCTGGTGTTCATAGGTCATTATTTAATTACAATGTATAGAATATTGGCTGTTATTAACCATTAACCTGGTGAATTTGTTTAATGGATTTGCCCAGCTTTTATACATGTATTTGGAACAAACCATTCAAATTTTAAGAAATTTTAATTTAAAAAAACAAACTGAAATTGAGTTACTAACAGTATAGATAGATAGATAGATAGATTTATTTCGGCAAAGGAAGCATATACATAGTTGACAATATAACATAGGATAAAATAATGAGCATTATTAAATACTATATCACATACGAGTAAAACAATGACATGCTCACCAAAACCAAGGATAACACAAAAAAGGGCAAAAAAGCTCTTATTTCCATTGTGGTCCTTTGTATTGGCGGCATGACATAGAGAGGCAAACCTTAATATAATCATGTTTAAAAATACTAATAAATCATAAAAATGTATATCACAGTCAAATCTTGAGTTAATGATACTCCTGTTTACAGCTAGGATTTAAAACACATTACTAAAATTGTAATAAGATAAATGTCAGACAATTAAAATTCCTGAGCCGAAATATGTAAAAACATGTTTAAAAAAAAAAATTTTTAAATACTGTTCATAAGATGACTTTTGATGGCAACCTTAAAACTTTGTAACCTGTTGATCTCCGTTAACTTTACAGGTAAATCATTCCATAATTTAATACCAGAGAAAGCAAATGATTTAGAACCCTGGCCTTTGACCTTAGGTAGACAATATCCACCCTTTTGACTAAGTCTTGTACTATAATTATGAATGGAATCTTGTGAAATAAAGTGTTCAGACATGTAATCCGGAGATAGGCCATTTTTTATCTTAAAAACATGACACAACATTATCTGTTCAACTCTTTTGTGGACCGGTAACCAGTTAAGGGACTTAAAGTGGGATGGGTCAATGTGGGCTCTAGAGTCCAAGTCAAGTACAAATCTCATTATTTTGTTTTGACAAGTTTGTAACTTATTTTTAAAGACTGTGTCAAGCTATTATACCAAACAGAGCATGCGTAATCATAGTGACACTGAATAAGAGACATAACCAGAAGTTTCTTGGTATGCTGAGTAAGAAACTCTTTCTTGCGGTAAAGAAATTTTAACCGAGAGTTGGCCTTCTTAAGAACAGACTGGGCCATGGCGGAAAATGACAGATTTTGGTCTATAGTAATCCCAAGATACTTGATAGATGAAGTTGATTCAATGGATGTACCAGAACAGGTTATATGCAGGTTAGATTGTGACCTAAGTTTTTGCCTGGACCCAAATAGAATTGACTCGGTTTTACCCAAATGCAATGACAACTTATTGTCCACTAACCATTGGCTGACCAATTCCATATCATCTGTCAATGCCTTTTCAACAACAGATAAACTTTTACCAGATACAAGGATACCAGAATCATCAGCATACAAAAGCAATTTATTTTTGACCACAGCTGACATATCATTTACATAAATTAAAAAGAGAAGGGGTCCAAGGATTGAGCCCTGAGGAACACCACATGTAATTTTGGAATTGGAAGAATAAGTACCAGAGACATCTACAAGCTGCTGTCTATCTGATAAATATGATTTGAACCAATTTAGGACGTCAATACTAAGACCTGATGCTTGCAGTTTCATTAAAAGAATGGAATGGTCGACTGTGTCAAACGCTTTCTGCAAATCCAGCAGCACCATACCAACAACATTACCTTTATCATTTTCATACCTGATAAAGTCTGTAAGGTGAATCAGACAAGTATCAGTAGAGAAGCCACTCCTGAAACCTGATTGAAATTTATACAGCAGATCTTTATCCTTAAAATAAGCTTCAACCTGGTCATAAACCACCTTTTCAAGGATTTTAGAATCAACATTTAAAATGGACACAGGCCTTGTCAGACTGCAAGGGAAGGCTAATCACTTAGTTCCAGCACATTAAGATTGATTAATGTTCTCTTGCAGGTAAAGTTGATACAACTTGTTGCCACAGATAAAATATTATGTGTGGATTATTTGATAATGTGTTTAAATTGGCGTAAAAGCCAGAAAAAACAACATGCTATGTAAATTCTGTTATCTAGTATAATTGATCAGTTATTGTGAATTTTAATTTCAGAATGTCCTGATTTTCTGTTTGGAGAAGAGTGTGAAAAAGAATGTCACTGTTCTAATATATCAGAGGCGTGTGACAAGAGCACTGGCTACTGTCAACATAATTGTCATGCTGGATGGACGGGTATTGACTGTAATCATCGTAAGTTACATTTTACAACTAAGAACTTTTGCCTTTAATAAATGAACAGATGTACAGAATCATTGATGTGATGGATTTTAGCCACTACCGTATTATAAGTGTGTGCATTTATAGAATATTAGTATTATTTGTTTAGTCACACTTTACATCTTTTAGGGTTATCATTAAGACACATGCAAGATCAGGGTTGTCATAAGAATTTTATCAAGACGGTTCATTTTAAACTTTAGATGGTCATTTTTAGATTATTACATACAACAGAGAGTGCTTTTTAAGTTTTGAGGTGGCCCAAAAATGTATTTCAGACAGTCATATTGGCCTGCAGTCGCCTCAAAACTTAAAAAGCCCTCTTTGTTATATGTGATAAACCAGAAATTACCGTCTTAAATTCAAAACTGACAGTCTCAGATAAATTCTAATTACAACCCTGATCTTGTATGTGTCTGATAATAGTTATTTATTGATTTTAGGGGCCATTTACAGATTTCTTGTGGTTATGTGGACCTACCACACAAAATTTATGTGTCTGAAATTAAGAATATTGAGCATAGACAAATTAAGGAGCCTAGAATATTTTATAGCATGCAGATTTAATTTGTCTATATGTAACAGTAGTCTGAACAAATTTAAAATGATAAAAAGTTCAGTTTATAGACAAATCAATCCATGAAGCTTTTGGTTTAGATAATAATTTAATATTTTAATATCTAACTCTCATCAACATTGCATTAAAAGGAATGAAGTTCTGTTTAATAAAATGTTTTAAATGTTTAATAAAGACCCAGATTAGACAGTATGACAGTCAGTAAACTGTAATTTTCTTGGAAAAAAGGACATCATTGTGGAAATTTCCCTCCCATGGTTAAAAGCAGACTTGAGATTTTTAATACAAAAACTGTGGACAAGAAGGCAAAAAAGGCTAAATAGATGTAAGCTTATATTAAGATATTACTAGAAAGAAGTCAATATTTACAGATTTATTCAGGCTCATAATCATATTTATTTACATAAATCATACTTTGTTATTTTTTTCTTCAGCATGTATGTATGACAAGTATGGTATAGACTGTCAGAGATCATGTGGACATTGTCAGTTTGATTCATGTGATCACGAGACGGGCAAGTGCTTAAAGGGCTGTAAATCAGGATTCCAGAATGTTTATTGTACACAGAGTAAGTATAATTGTGGCAGGTCATTCTGCAATAGTAACTACAAATGTGAACAAATAAACTTATCAGTTTGATTTTTTTTTAGCTCACCAGAACAGAATGTTCAGGGTGAGCTATTAGTATAAAAGGGGGATGCTCCTGCGTCTGTCGTCCTGCGTCAAAAATCATCTTCTTCTCTGAAACTCTGAGCAGATTTACTTCAAATTTGGTCTGTAGCATCTTTGTGACAGTCACACTTGAATTTGCCCATGTCATTTCAATTGGCCTCTTTTAGGGGTCAACAGAGCTAAAAAAAGAAAAACCTTTAAACATCTTCTTCTACAGAACTAATGGATGGATGATCACTAAACTTTGTCTTAAGCATTCTCAAGTAGTCTTTTATCAGTTTTGCTCATATTAATTCGATTGGCCCCTTTTAGGGGTCACTAAAGCTAAAAATAGAAATACCTTTAAATGTGTATTTCTACAGAACTAATTGATAAATGATCACCAAACTTTGTCTGTAGCATTCTCAGGTAGTCCGTTATCAAGTTTGCTCATATTTATTTGATTGGCCCCTTTTAGGGGCTGTTAAAGCTAAAAATAGAAAAACCTTTAGACATCTTCTTCTACAGAACTAATTGATAGATGATCACAAACTTTGTCTGTAGCATTTGATCTTATTAATTTGATTGGCCCCTTTTTGGGGCCACTAAAGCGAAAAATAGAAATGTCTTTAAACATGTATTTCTACAGAACTAATTAATGGATGATCACCAAACTTTGTCTGTAGCATTCTTGGGTAGTGTTTTTTCAAGTTTGCTCATATTAATATGATGGGCCCCAAGCTAAAAATAGAAAAACCTTTAAACATCTTCTACTTCAAAACTAATTGATGGATGATCACCAAACTTAGCATTCTTAGGTAGTCTATTTATCAAGTTTACTCATATTAATTTGATTGGCCCCGTTTAAGCTAAAGCTTAAATGTCCTAGGTCATGGCATTTCTTCAGATTATTGTTTAAACATATTCAATTTAATATTAGAAAGTATGGACAATGGATAATTTCCAACACTGAAAAGCAGTTGTTTCTGTTGAGCGGCTCAGGGCCATCATGGCCCTCTTGTTTAACTTTAAATAAGGACTACAAATTATATTACAATATCTAGTAGGTGTGGTATTGTTTCCAAAGAGATTACTAAAACTTTTTTAAAACAATGCATGTTAGGAGACAGCAAAGATTTCATTGTTGCTGAAATGTTGAACTTAATAGGTAATACAATACTATATTCAAAAAAAAGTTATTGCTGCTCAGAGGGCCACTTTGTAGGGGTTGCACTTTATACCTTGTTTTGATTTATTGGAAAAATGTACTTGCTGTAAACGATTATGTTACTATATGTGGTATTGTTGCCAAATATACATTAAATTTCTTTTTAGAATTAAAAATGTTACATATATCTTAAGACAGCATTCTTCATTTTAGACAAAAATGTGCAAGTTTGTATTAATGAAATATGCTTTAGGAATTTCTGAATCTAGCAGCAAAAAAAAAAACAAATTCTATACAGTAAGCAGCTCAGTTCTAGTATTTTGGTACTGAAATCCCCAACTCTTACAATGGATTGTTCCAAATTCAAAGCAAGACAGTTCCATTACTTAAATTCAAGGGACTAAGATGTGATAAAAATGATACTACTACTAGTGAACATTCAGTAACTGTTTTATTGTATAAACAGAGTGTGGTCAGGGTGTTTATGGAGTTAACTGTAGAGAAAGATGTGGTCAGTGTAGAAATGGCGACTGTCACCCGGAGACCGGAGAATGTGTTGGAGGTTGTCTCCCTGGTTACATTGGAGATCTTTGTAAAGATAGTAAGTGACCATTTTATGTGATCAAATTAGAATTCAAGTCAATCTGAACTGATATTAAAGTTTTAGCTTTTGTTAAGAATTGTACTGTCAGAAATACAGTTAATTAGGGGAGGGATCATTTCAATGATATTTTTAACTTAACTAAATTTTTAAACTATGCTAAATAAGCGGTTATCAATGGGCTATATTAATGAATATCATTATAAAAAGGAATGACGCAAGAAATATTATTCAGGATGTGAAAGATAGAACACTATCTAATTATAATTTTTTGATATTCTGAATAACATTTATCAATTAACTTTTAGAAATAGGAAAATTTTGATGCCATAAATTATTAATAATTCTTGCATATTTTCTTCAGGATGTCCAAATGGGAAGTATGATATTGAATGTTCCGAAAGATGTCCCTTCTGTTTAAACAGAGGCCCATGTCATCCAGAAACAGGAGTGTGTGAAAGAGGGTGTGCACCAGGATATAAGGGGAAAAGCTGTGATATGGGTAAAGAAAAAACACTACACATAATTGAGTAGTGTCACGACAAAACCAACATAATGGGTTTGCGACCAGCATGGATCCAGACCAGCCTGCGCATCCGCGCAGTCTGATCAGGATCCATGCTGTTCGCAGGATCCATGCTGTTCGCTATCAGTTTCTCTACTTGTTATAGGGTTTGTAAGCGAACAGCATGGATCCTGATCAGACCGCGTGGATGCGCAGGCTGGTCTGGATCCATGCTGGTCGCAAACCCATTATGTTGGTTTTGTCATGGCATGGCTCATATTCATTGTTAAAAAATTAGAATGAAGTAAATAGTTTAAAATGAACATAATACCTTTAGTTTGAAAAGTCTAGGTCAGCCTATTTCACCGTAGGGAACGTGTTACAGTATCGCGTTTTTCGGTTACAGTATAGAATTTTCAAGATGGAGGATTATTTATGGGAAGAGAGGTAGGTGATTTTTATTCAGGTCCATACTATACTAGTAGTTTAGTTTCTAAAAGCTGTTTTTGTGCTATGCTTGTAAGGAACAGAATCCGGTATCTGGTCATATATTTCTTCAGACCCTGCACCGCAGATTTATCTCTATATTGTCTCATAAATGTGCAGATTTGACGGTTTTAAAATTTGAATCGAGAGACCAACGCATTTTTCTCCCATTCCGACATTATTTAAGCATGCCTAGATAAAGTAAATCTACAAAACGTTAGTCCTTTATGTTTAGAAACGTTTATTAAAGTAAATGACCAGTTGAACCTATTTTCCTGTTGGTAAAATGCGTTTGAAAAAATAAACAATGTTACAGTATAGAGCGAGGTTAATTTTGAAGGGTTACAGCATAGACCTAGCGACTTTCATCCAATTTTGTTACAGTTTATACCCAGATTTCTGTTACAGTTTAGATAAATTTCAAACAATTAAAGTTCGTGTATCCATTATTTTTATGAAATAACTCATACCTTTCTATTTAATACATTCTTGAAAGGCTGTATTACTTTTTTTCTTCAGCAGAAAAGTTATAGTTTGCTATTTTTCTTACTTTAAGTTTCAGATTGAGACTTTTTGCAGAATAAGTAATGTCCTAAGTAAGGACTGTTTTCACGACAACAACAGTAACTTTTATCGAATTGTATTGAGAGAAGAAAGATTATTGCTTGATATCATTACACATTATAATAATGCCTATTAGTAATAAAATAGAGAAAACATAATCCTTAACAGAAGTCCAACACGGAAAACATGAAAATGTTGCAGGCTCAGTTTGATTAAACCTGTTCATGGACGGTAGTGGTAACTGCAAGCTACCGTCCACGCCTCCTAGCACCGGCTTCAGCAGAATTCACATTAAACATGAACTGGTACACTTCAGATTTTTTAACATCTGTAGATGTGTTCATATGGCGGTTATCATGGAACCTTCAATGTGGCACGTTATTGCCATTCTGTGAAAAGCGGCATGTTACCCCAGGTTAAAAATTGTGTGTGCCCTAAACGAGAATACAATGAGTGAAACTAAACAAAATGAAATTTTGAGAGGGGATCGGACGTCATGAAGCCTGCATACCATAGATAAGCTGTCAAAAGACACAATTAACAGGCAGGCAATACCCTAAGAATGATTAAACAGTATTTAAGTGAGCAATACTACAACCTTTAATTTCATGTTAAGTTGGAATTTCCATCTACCATAATGTATTTTGTAAGTATTTAAAAGGGTTTATGAATATTTTCAATTTTGTTGTGTTGGAATTTCTTTAGGGATTCTGTTTAACTCTATTTTGTTACGTTTGCCTTTCTTGGAGTTTAAGTTTCAACGACACTGAGGTCATATGAAAACAGTCCAGCTTTAGTGTAAAGAAAGACCCCAGATTCCCTTTGTGAAACATTTCAGACACGAGCGGGCACCTGACTAGAACCACCGACCTTCCGTATATTAGCTTGATAGAATCCTCACATACAAAGAATCCAAGTCATGATTGGATTTCAACTACAGCAGTAAATGAAAGATGATTTGAAGTCGACGGCCTTATCCCGACTCTGCCACTATATTATGTACCTCCATTAGGCTCACTAGAGAAAATATTGTAATTGTCTGACCTTAATTTATACTCTTTAATTTTCTTTTTCAGAAATTTGAAAACTGCTATACAGGATGTCTGAAATAAAGAAAAACGACTTTTAATTTAATAATGACAAAATAATCGTAACTTCAACAAAGAAGCATTCGAAATGACGCCATGATCATGATTTGATTTGAATGCTTTTGGTTCGAGATGAGAAGGGTCTTTAAACATTGACTTTTTTTCAAAATCTATGTTTTGGGTTTTCGTATCCCCGATTGCAAACGAAACCATTTGAACAACTAAATTGGTAGAAAGTCATGTAAATTTCATCACATTTAGTCAAGTAGTTACTGAGCGGATGAGATTGCACACACATATGTACGACAGACGGACGAATAGCCATCGGACCAATAAGCTCACAGAGATTTAAAAGTCTATGTAACATTCATACATTTTACAAAGTATATACAGAAAATATCAAAGTCTAAACTGTTACCGAAATCTGGGTATAAACTGTAACAAAATCGGATACAAATCGCTATGTCTATGCTGTAACCCTGCACAAATTACCTCGCTCTATACTGTAACATTGTTTATTTTTTCAAACGCATTTAACGAACAGGAAAATAGGTTCAACTGGTCATTTACTTTTATAAACGTTTCCTAACATAAAGGACTAACGTTTTGCAGATTTATTTTTTCTAGGCATGCATAAATTATGTCGAAATTGCAGAAAAATGTATTGGTCTCTCGATTCAAATTTTCAAACTGTCAAATCTGCATATTTATGAGACAATATAGAGATAAATCTGCGGTGCAGGGTCTAAAGAAATATATGACTAGATACCGGACTCTGTTCCTTATATGCAAAGCACAAAAACATCTTTTAGAAACTAAACTTCTTGCAGTATGGACCGGAATAAAAAGCACCTACCAGTCATCCCATCAAATAATCCTCCATCTTGAAAATTCTATACTGTAACCGAAAAACGCGATACTGTAACACGTTCCCTACGGTGTATTTATTTAATTTGATCAAAATACAAAGGCACTTTGTATACATTGTATATATATATATGAAAGATAGTTACACTCCAGTTAGAGGAAAATGGTGTACAATATAACAACAAATCTATTCTAAAACAACCGCAAAACTATAAACACATTCTAGAAAACCTGTAATATATGGCCATTTTATTTTCATATTTTATGCAAGTGTGCACACAAAATAAGCTGTTATGGTTAACTGTATGTATAGAATGTACATATTCTCATTCTGAAAATTATTTTTTAATTTTCTACCATTGTTTTTTTTTTATCCAACATTGTTTATTGTTTTTTATCAGAATGTCCGGATGGGTTTTTCGGATCTAACTGTACTAAGGAGTGCGGGCACTGTTTATCAGGTCAACCATGTGACAAGTACACCGGTCAGTGTATAGAGGGATGTGATAAAGGATATACGGAATTTTTTTAAAAAATTTAAATAATTAAAAAAATTTGACAAGTTTTTGGGTTTTTCCCTTTTAATATCAAAAAGGGTGAATTTTAACTACAAAATCCCCCTCTTTTTTTCCCCCCTTTTTTTCTTTTTTTTTTTTCCTTTAAAAAAATTTTTTCATTTTTTTTAAAAATGGGGGGTTTTTTCCCCTCCCAAAATTTTTGGAAAAAAAAGCTCCTCCCCCCCCCCCCCCAAAATCTTTTTTTTTTTTAAAAAAATTTCCAATTTTGGGGCCCAAAAAGGTTTCTTAATTTTTCCCCTTGAAAAACTCTTTCCCCAACCCTTTTTTTTCCAAATTTTTTTTACTCGAAAACTTTAATTTTTTTCCGCCCCCTCCTCCCCCCCTTTTTTTTTTTTCTTTTTCCCCTCCGTTCAAACCCCCCCCCTTTTCCCTCTCCCCCCCCCAAACAAAGGGGTCTCCCCCCTTTTTAAAAAAACCCCCCTTTTTCACATTTTTCTTGGTTTTTTTTCTTTCCCCCTCCTTTTGGGCTTTACTTTCCCCCCTTTCCCTCCCCCCCCCTTCCCCCCCCCTTTCCCCCTTTTCTTTCCCCCCCCCTTTTTTGCCCCCCCTTTTTTTGAAAAAAGTTTGTATGTTTAAATAGCCCCAGTTAAGATTTTTTTATTTACAAGCAAAAAAAATGCGTTTTTCAAATCTTTTTTATTTGTATATTGTTGTTAACAAATTTTTTTCCCCCCCCCCCCCGTTGAAATTAATTTTACTGTTGTTGAAATAAAACCATAAATTTACTGTTGTGAAATAACTGTTTTTTTATATAGGTGAAGTTGAGGTGAAGGAAAGTTCTGTTGTTGGAGGTGTGGTAGGAGGGGTGATTGCTGTTGCTGTTATAATAATACTTGCCGTTATTCTTCTACTTGTATACAGGTAGGTCAACCCTGTTTTACTGATTAAATAATGATTAATGCATATATTTTTTTCATGGGTTTTACATCGCTCCAGCACATTATAGGTCATATGGCAGCTTTCCAGCTTTATTGGTGGAGGAAGACCATAGATGTCCTTAATCACATTATTTCAGGCATGAATGGGCACCTGAGTGGAACCACCGACGTTCAGTAAACTAGTTACATTTGTAACCTAGTAAAGTTGGGATTCAATCCCACAGCAGTGAGGAGCAAGTGGTATGACGTGAACAACCTTAACTTCTCTGCAATGGACACCCTAAATAATGATAACACAGTGAAACTTCAGCAAAACAGTCTTCAATAGAATAGTTACCTCATAACAACCAAAGTGTCAATTCTTCCCAAAGTTTAATATCACAATAAGTCAGACATCTCGAGAGCAACGCCTCACCAAAATCCAAAATTGGACTCTCAGAGGGTGTTTTTCTACACAGCTTGTTTTGTATTAGAAATAGTTTCACTTTTTTGGATGTCATTTACTATTTAAACTTTACACCATGCATTCATATTTAATTTAAGGTTTTTATTTTTTTACAAATCAGTTATTGATATCTAATGGAAGCTTGTCGTGGGAGGCGTAAGTTAAGTTATGGTTTTTAATAAGTGAAGGTCGCTGGAGTTAATTGTTGTGATGATAAGACACTAAACTGTTATTTTCTGCTTACTTTGTTGAAATAATATGAGCAAGCTTTCCAAAAGTCAAGGTTATTTCTTAACGACCTTTACTATTGTAAAGTAGAAATAGCTGGTCTGGATCCATGCTGGTCGCAAACACACTATGTTGGTTTTGTCGTGACGCGGCTCATGTATCTGATGTTATTGTTATAATTATAACCCATTTTAATAAATATGATTGTAAACAGGAAGAGAAGGTTTCGCACTAAGATGATCGTGACAGGTCATGGTCAGGACCTTAAAATGACCACAACCAAAAATGATCACGTGATTGATAATGTAGAGGAGACTAGCATGTTATTACGATCTACATCTGCAACAGGTACGTCACAATCTGTCAGTCAGAATTTACTCTCAATTATTAGATATTTCTTCTTAAAAATTAATCCATATGTAAAATAGGATAACAGATTTATAAAATAAAAAAGAGGGTGGTATAAGTTTGGTGAAATATAAGCTGGAAATATGTATCTTGACTATAAAGACAACCTTATGAAGCTAAAAGCATAGAGAGTTAAGGGGCAAGTGATTCCAAGTTCATAACCTGAATAACACTGAATAATGGAGGCTCTTATTATATAGTCATAAATCCCTTAATGGTTTATTATATTTACAGAGATAGACAGACATGTAGAAGAGGAAGATTGTGCTGACAATATATATGACAAGACAACACATGAACCTATCTATGTTAATGTGAACACCAAAAACTTACGCAATCCCATCAAAGTAGAAGATCTACAGTCATTTATAAACAAAGCCAAGGATAATGATTATGCTATAATCAGGGCTGAACATGGGGTAAGTTATACAATTAATACAATTCTTTCATTATTAATGATGAAATTTGTCTGTGATATTAGATAACCTCTGTGTAGGTTATCTTAGTTGCAACATACTTCTGTTAGCCCGATTGAGAATCTTTTTTTTTTAACCACTCTGGGGACCCCATCTTGGAACTTAATCAGTACTGTTCAAAAGGGTTTAAAAAATTTTTGAAAATCAAAAAATGGGTTTTTTTTGATTGGTTAGAAAAATGCACAAAAGACCCAAAGAAAAAAGTAAATTTTTCACAAAACTCAGAAAAAAGTTCTATTACCTCAAGGCTTGGTTTCATATGAGGACCGCAAAAAGGCTCAAACCACAATCCCTTACTTGAGAGGCAGACACATTAACCACTTGTCTAAAGCTCCCCTTAGGTTATCTTGGATCATAAAAAGCAGTTTTTTCACCAAGCTTATGGTCAGTGTTTTTACTTGTATCAATATTATATATTATAGGTTATATTATATTAGTAAAAGTAAAATATACTGTGCTAAAAATCAGACTTGTTTAGGGAGCTAGAGATTGTGAAAATTAGGAACTTACTGTAAGTTACCCATGGTTTTTATAAAGCCCTCAATATGTGTATTTCTTAAGTGTTTTTTACTATTTTTACATGCATTCTTAAACATATGTTTACCATATAAAGTGCAATATTGTTATATCATTATAATTCAGGATTTACCCACTGGTTTGTTGGCGTTGTGTCATACAGCATTAAAACCGGAGAATAAAAGCAAGAACAGATATGCTGATATAATTGCCTGTAAGTATACATGTTTATATACCTACCTCCAGATAGTCATGTGTGTGAGTGTGTGATCTGATGTGAGAATTATTTAACCTTTAACCTGTGGAATTTGTATAATAAAATTCTCCAGCTTTCAATTTGGAACATTTCATTTGAAGTAAAAAAGATTTTGTTATTAAAATACAAACTTTGAGCCACAAACAGTATAGGGCCTTGTTAGACTACATGGAAGTGCAGGCTTGCCTTGCTCTGTACTGGTCACAAAGGTTAATTACTTTAGATTCCATCAGGTTAAGGGTTAAAAGCAAAAGAAATGATGCATGAAATTACTGATAATATAAGTCTTTTAAGATTTTCCTATTTAAGCATGAATCTTGGTTAGATTTCTTTCTCTAAAAGATAAATATTTCATTCTTTAATTTACTGTATGAACTTGAATCTTTTTTATGTATGTATAATACTTACATGATTGCTGTCTGTCAGTATGAGCTGATTAATTATGCATAGATGCAGTGATTTTTCCACATTCTTTGACAAGTGGGCATTACCTTGCAGATAAGTCTGATTGCATTTGCAGCTTTTCTAAAATTGAATGTTTTTCAATATTTAGACTTATTGCCAACAAACACATAAATAACGCAACAGTAATGATAGAATTTATTCCAGTTTGCATGAACCAGTCTGCACATCTTTATAGTCTGGCGAGGCTTTTATAAACTGTTTGAAGTTGATAAAAATGTATAAATGTGCACTTAATATTCTTTGTATATTGAAGTTTCAAGTGGGGGAAAGTTTATAAATGTGCAATGAATATTGTATGTAAGTAATGAATGAAATTAACTTTCAGATGACCATTCTAGAGTAGTGCTGTATCCACTTCCGCATGATCCACATTCTGACTATGTTAATGCTAATTCTATAGATGTAAGTCCCCTTATTCTTCCTCTCTCATTATCAATACAAAGGCCAAATTAAAAAACACAACAAAAAAATGTTCTGTTTCTGGTACACCTACCTCCTCTGTTTTTAATGACTGGCCGTAGATTTTTTTAATTGCAAGTTGCCTTTTCCAAAATATTTTATTTATAATAATGTGTATAAAGAACAAATTGTAAAGTGAAGAAATTTTTATTTACCTTCCCTCACTTTTTTAGGGGTCAGAGGTCAGAAACAGGACTTTATTTTCTGCAAACTTTTTTTTATCTGCGAGCATTTTTTTATGCCAATGAATGATTTGTTTCATGTTGATTTTACTTGTTTTCTTTCTTGTAGATAGAGGTATATTTTATTTGATACAAGACAACATTTTTTTTTATACAGCAACTTTTACTATATAATGTAAATAGATTTAAAAATGTCTTAACATAGAACAAATGATGATTTGACATTTTAGAATAAAATGTGAATATAGAGCCAAATGTATGAATAAAATATGAAGCAGTTGCATGAAATATTCATGATACACACTCAATTGCAGTAAAATCTCCTCACAGAGGGACAATTTCCACTGGCTTATGAGTTTTGAGCAGTTTTTTTTTAAGTTCTACATTATTGATTTTGATTTTTTTAACAATTTTCTTAGAAAAAAATAATTGTATTTAAATTTTAAAACGATAATAGTGCATTTTTTATTAGTTAACAAGAAGAAGATTTATACTGTACTTATTCAAGTACATTGTTAATCATTTAGAGTATAACTGTAAATGATGTTTTCATGTATTTTAAATTTGTTTCCAGGGTTACAGTTCCAAGAAAGCTTATATAGCATCACAGGGTAGGTGTTTGTTATGAGGAATTTCATTTCATGTAATATAATAATAAAGTGTACTGTATTAATGGTCAATTAAGTGTGGCATAATGTGTCCAACATTAAACTGCTTTTTCCTTCAGATACATTGATTTGAATTCAGTTTTATACTTTTGAGTATTCATATGTGATACAGGCATTTATCTAGCTTATTGATATATCTACCTATAAAAAAGTGTGGCATAATGTGTCCAACATTAAACTGCTTTTTCCTTCAGATACATAGATTTGAATTCAGTTTTATACTTTTGAGTATTCATATGTGATACAGGCATTTATCTAGCTTATTGAATTTGGTGTCTGCCTGTGTCAGGATAAAGATTATAAGTACCTGAGGACTTCTGCCCTAATAATTTAAAACATAATGATTATAAATATGGCTGTAAAAATAAAATATTCAGGCATTATTTTGGAATTTGAAGTTGCTCATAAAGTTCTTGAATTTACTTGTGATATATGTAAAAGAATTACTTGTAAAGACGCTATTTTTTAGCTCACCTGTCACAAAGTGACAGGGTGAGCTTTTGTGATCGCTTTTCGTCCGGCGTCCGTCCGTAAACTTTTACTTTAAATGACATCTCCTCATAAACCACTAAGCCAATTTCATCCAAACTTCACAGGAATATTCCTTTGGTGGTTAAAAATTGTTCAAATAATTTAATTCCATGCAGACCTCTGGTTGCCATGGCAACCGAAAGAAAAAACTTTAAATATCTTCTTTTAAAAAACCATCAGAGCTAGAGCTTAGATATTTGGCATGAAACATCTTCTAGTGAGTGTCTACCAAGTTTCTTCAAATAAAAGTCCTGGGGTCAAAATTGGCCCTGCCCCGGGGGGGTCATTGATTTTCCCTATATGTATATAGTAAAAACTTAAAAAATCTTCTTTTAAAGAATCCAAAGAGCTAGAGCTAAGATATTTAGCATGAAACATGTTCTAATGGGTGTCTACCAAGTTTGTTCAAATAAAAACCCTAGGGTCAAAATTGGCCCCGCCCCGGGGGCCATTGATTTTCCCTATATGCATTTAGTAAAAACTTGAAAAATCTTCTTTAAAAGAACTCAAAGAGCTATGGCTAAGATATTGAGCATCAAACATGTTCTTATAGGTGTCTACCAAGTTTGTTCAAATAAAAGCCCTGGGGTCAAAATTGGCCCTGCCCTAGGGGGTCATTGATTTTCCCTATATGCATATAGTAAAAACTTAAAAAATCTTCTTTTAAAGAACCAAAAGAGTTAGAGCTAAGATATTTAGCATGAAACATGTTCTAATAAGTGTCTACCAAGTTTCTTCAAATAAAAGCCCTAGGGTCAAAATTGGCCCCGCCTGGGGGGTCATTGATTTTCCCTATATGCATATAGTTAAGACTGAAAAAATCTTCTTTAAAAGAACTCTAAAGAGCTATGGCTAAGATATTTAGCATCAAACATGTTCTAATAGGTGTCTACCAAGTTTGTTCAAATAAAAGCCCTGGGGTCAAAATTGGTACCACCCCGGGGGTCATTGATTTTCCTTATATGTGTATAGCAAAAACTTAAATAATCTTCTTTGTAAAAACCCAAATAGCTAGAGTTAAGATATTAAGCATGAAACATCTTTTAGTGAGTGTCTACAAAGTTTGTTAAAAAAAAAGACCTGGGGTCAAAATTGGCCCCGCCCCGGGGGTCATTGATTTTCTTTATATGTGTAAAGCAAAAACTTAAAATCTTCTTTGAAAAAACCCAAATAGCTAGAGTTTAGATATAAAGCATGAAACATCTTCTAGTAAGTGTCTACAAAGTTTGTTCAAATAAAAGCCCTGGGGTCAAAACTGGCCCGGCCCCAGGGGTGTCATTGTTTTTAACTATATGTGTATAGTAAAAACTTAAAAAAAATCTTCTTTTAAAAAAGCCCAATGAGCTATAGCTTAGATGTTTAGCATGAAACATTTTCTTATGGGTGTCTACCAAGTTTGTGCAAATAAAAGCCCTTGGGTTAAATTGGCCCTGCAACGTATGGGGGGGTTGGGGGGGGGCCTATATACAGGTGAGCGACCTCAAGGCCATCATTGCCCTCTTGTTTATCTTGAAAGACACATTATGACTCAGAAACAAAAAAGTCTTTAGAAAGGGCAACCATTATTTTTAGTATGTAAAATTCATATCATGTGAAGAAAGTAGTGCTGAATGTGGAATTATTGGTCAAAAAAAGTATTAAAATGTAAACAAAGTAGTAGTTTGACTTTCATATAATTTCAAATCTCATATTGTCTGGCGTAATGTTTTTGATAACATGTGACTATGTTATGTTGTAGGGCCTAACAAAGCAATGTTGGCAGATTTTTGGAGAATGATCTGGCAAGAGAAAGTGACTAAGATAGTCATGCTGACAAATCTTGTAGAAACATATAAGGTATACTAAATCTTTCACTATTTATGGATAGTACATTTATTTAAATTCTGTTCACAAATTCCGAAGGTTAAGAGTTAATTTAATGGAATTTTAAGCCATATATCTATAGAATGTTTCTTTTGGTTTATATGATTCTCAGGAATTACAGTTATTTTAAGATATTTGTATTTCTAAAAGAGTGATAAAGAATAGTTTATATAGTGCCAGAATAGTTATGTCCAGTCTTCTAAAAGAGTTTTTTTCAGTCAGTATTTTAAATTCTCTCTTGCAAAAAACATTTCAGGTGATATAAAGGACACTTTATCTGTTTTACTAAGGGCTGTAAACCATATTATGTTAAAACAACACTTCACATAAGAAAGTTAAAATGATTATTATATATGATTGAAAATATATCTTATGGAAAAAGGAGCAGATACATTTGTGGGTAGAAAGTTTGCAGGGAGAGGGTTACACTATTGACTGGTTTGATATAACATTACTTATGTTTTCTATTGTAGAAAAAGTGTGAACAATATTGGCCATCAGAAGGCAGTATAACATATGGTGATGTTACGGTGGAGATGATAGATACAGCTGAATATACTGACTATATTATCAGAACTTTTACAATATCTGCTGTAAGTGATTGTTCAGATTATATCCTCATCCATCCTTATTTAATTATAAAATTCACATAAAATATATTGTTGTAATGTTTTAAAATTTTAGCAAACCTTTAAATCAATTGTGATTCTTTTGGAGCTAAAAAGGCTTTAATCATTTAGTTTAATGCAAATATTTAAAGCTTCTTCTTTCAGTTGATTGGCATCTTTGCTTTGCTGTATTGATACTTAGGTAGAGTTCAAGATTTAAATAAATCGTAAGACCCATTTCATGTCGTGCACAATTACTATATTTTATTCAATAGTTATATTCTTATAAATGATTTATTTTCAGTCCAAAAGTACACGTATTATAAAGCAGTTTCATTTCACGTCGTGGACCGACCATGGTGCACCTACGTATCCAACAACACTTCTCAACTTTCGTCGTAAAGTTCAGCAATATAATCCAGACAGTAACTCTCCTATTATGGTTCACTGCAGGTAAACAGATGTTTCTATTTTTACCTTTTTTATCCGGCAATGCATTAATGGGTGTAAGTCCTGTATGTTTTTGCAAGCTCAGAGTAAGATTAATGTATGAGTCTGTGATTTTCTGCTTTACATCAAACAGCTTGAAGCTGTTACAATTTTATTTGGTTTAATTTTAAATTTTAGTGATAGATAAATACTGTATAAGTGGATATTTATGCGTCACAAAAATTTTGCGATTGTCAAAAAGTGTACTTTTTGCATGCGGAAATATTTGTGGAAATATTTGTTTATCATTTATTAAGCAGGTACATGTTAAGAATATACCTTAATTGTAATTTGTTCTTTTCAGTTGTTTAATACCTTTATTATCTACATTATTGTTTGAAATATACATTGTTAGTTTGATAAAGTGTATTATGATGGAAATTTGTTTGCAGGGACTATTAATCTGTAAGCTATTTCTAGAATTACATCTTTCCTTAAGTGCATACAGATAACATTTTTAAAATGGTGACAATTTGACATATTATACAATTGAGCCACGTCACAACAAAACCAACATAGTGCGTTTGCGACCAGCATGGATCCAGACCAGCCTGCTCATCCGCGCAGTCTGATCAGGATCCATGCTGTTTGCTATCAGTTTGTCTTCTTGTAATAGAGTTGGTAAGCGAACAGCATGGATCCTGATCAGACCGCACAGATGCGCAGGCTGGTCTGGATCCATGCTGGTCACAAACCCACTATGTTGGTTTTGCCAAGGCGCTGCTCATATATATATTTATACATTATTTAGTGCCGGTATAGGACGTAGCGGTACATATATAGCAGTAGATTATCTGTTACAACAAGCTAAAGCTGAGGGAGTTATAGATCTGGTACAATGTGCTCAACTTATGAGAAGTAACAGAGTCAATATGATACAAACTTGGGTATGTCATCAAGCAATCTTTTGTTGTTTCTTTCTTTTTTCACTTTTGAAAATTTTTATTGGCTGTTAAGAAAAATAGGATGTTAATTTTAATGTGTTGATTATATTACTGAATGTTACTGATCTGTTGAAATCTTTGATGAAAAAGAAAGCCAGTCAGCTGATTCAAGTAAAGTAAATCTACAAGAAAATGGCCAATTGACCTGTGTTGCATTGTAACAACTTAAAAGCCAAAGTAATAAACCAATATGTCCATGTTTCACATGATGTAATGAGGTGGTAGAGAACTAAAATTGTAGAGCTTTCATGCATTTCTTTCATTTAATATCATGACTTTAAAAAAACAAACTGCTTTTCCATTATATTAAGATGAATTTACCACTTCTTTAACATATCATATACATATTTATTTGTAATATTACAGCAACAGTACAGTTTTGTTTATGATGCTGTGCTAGATGCCTTGTTGTCAGGGGAGACAACCATTCCAAACTCTACATTCTCAGAGGTGTATGAAGAAATGTGCACTTTAAAACCAGAAACCTCGTCCACCCTGCTAGAGGACCAATTTGATGTATGTAGTTATAATAATCTCTTAACTTTATTTGCTTAATTGCAGAGTTTATTGTTGGAATTGTTTATTTCAGCAATTGATAAAGGTGCAAATTAGATATTTATATATTTAGGAAAATATATTGATTTTGATTGGGTTGTTGTAGAACAATAAAAGTTTGAGTTCAGATGTACAATTATACAATGCAAGGAAAATTAATTTTCATTTTCATTGTAACATTGTTAGAGAAAGAAAATAATGAAAATATGTTGAACTACAATAAGCATTGAAATAGTTATCGTGACAGCTCTTAGTTTACTGTCATTGCATCTGAAGTTATATGGTGCATAAGCATGTACGTCTTTATGCAGTGCATGTATTGATTTACTTGAACACTCCAGTCTATTTGTAAGAAACAATAAGGTACATTGCATGAAACACAATACAATAAACAATATCAATGTATGATATATGATGGATTTTTTTTTTCTGCAGACATTAGAGAAGTTGTCACCCAGGATAGAGAGAGATGAATGTAAGGCAGCGACAGATTCGAACAACTCTCCAAAAAGCCGCTTCAAGAATATTTTACCTGCGGACAGATTTCGACCGAAGCTTCTCACGCCAGTTGAGGGATGTAATGATTTTATCAATGCTGTCTTCCTACCTGTAAGTTCAATACATATTTTTCTTTGTTCCTCTGTGATTTTCTTCCTCCTTCCATGATTCTCTTCCTCTTCCTTCGTTGAAGGTCTTAAAATTGATAATGCACATTTACTGTAAAGGTGTTTTGCAAATACTTTATTCATGTACAGATGTTAAAATTAAAGTTGTCAAACTTGGTAGTATTCATCATATATGCTTTAAAATGTAATGAAAGGCATGATATATATCTTTTTGCTTAATTAAAGCAAAACTGTCTTACAGGCTATTGCAGTTGTGTGGCCCGCCCCTCTTTAATTATGTAGAACATGTAATTTGAGCCGCGTCACGACAAAACCAACATAGTGCGTTTGCGACCAGCATCCGCGCAGTCTGATCAGGATCCATGCTGTTCGCTTACCAACTCTATTACAAGTGGAGAAACTGATAGCGAACAGCAACACGCCTAATTTATACAGTACATTTTCCATATCTACTATGAAGTGATAGCATCTTTCAAGTTATTTTACTGAAATTTTAAAACATATTGCTATCTTGTATGAGAGTTACATGCAGATTATTATATGCATAACGTGTTGAAATTAAACATACTGTTGTGTTATTTCAGAGTTACACACAGAGAGATGCATTTATTGTAACACAGATGCCATTACCTAATACTGTAGCAGATTTCTGGAGGTTATTGTATGACTATCACTCAGATACAGTTGTCATGTTGAATGAATTTGACAGGAATGATAAGGTTAGTGTAGTTATATAACACCAGTTAGTGATAAAGCTTTGAGATCATGAGAATTGATGAGGCTTTGTCTGTTGTATAAAGAAACAATTTTTTTTTTAAAACAACATGAGGCTTTCTGAAGGGAAAACCAAAAAATCACAAAAAAAAGCTGAAATCAAACATTAACAACTGCAAAATTTAACATAGCCATACTGTCAATCTAATTTTCCATTTGATATTTCTATTTTTTCTCGTTTTGAACTTTCTTCTGTTGAAGGATAAACATGACTCTTTTTGGGAAAAATGTAGCTTTTTTAGCTAGAGGAAAAAGCCTGTGTAAGGCTGTAAAATATGCTTGAAAATGCTTAAACTGCTGAATTTGTGAAATGGGTTTGTGTTTGAATTTGGAACATCCTTTACACTACTTCACATTGCTTGTATGAAGAACATCCAGTACCTAAATGATATATCTTGTTCTATGATTTCAGTCATGTGCCCTGTATTGGCCAGAGGAATATGGTTATACTGTAGAGTATGGTCCACTCAGTATAGAACTGTTGTTCTCCTCCGAGGCTGACACAAATATTACTGTGAGGACATTTAAACTGACTAACACTATCAAGGTAAGAGGTTTGTTCTTAGGTTTGCTTTCAGTCACTTTGGTTAGTAAGATAATAACAAAAAGAAATGATAAACAATGACGTAATTGATATTCTCCTAATGTGAGCTAGGAATATCATCCAATAAAAAGGGACACTAGTAAAATTTCACAGGAATAATTGTATCAAATGTATCGTACTGTTTCATTTTTCATGAATATATGACTCAAATTATGCACTTTTCTATTATATTTTGATATAATTACACTGCAGGTTTATAAACCTTAAAAAATACGTCTTGATCCAAACATACAAGCTTATTAAAGATTTTGAGCTTTTATATCCTGCTGTAGTTTAAACAACTGCAATTATAATTTTAATAACCTTTAATATTTCTGTGAATGTAATAAGTTGTACTCTCTGAACAAGTTCTGTGTGAATTGACCAGTTTTCATAACAAACCAATTTCTCATTTCACAATATGTAGTATATACTGTATATATTATATTCCAGGGTGAGGACAGAGCAGTTAAACAGTTTCAGTTTAATGGTTGGCCAGACTACAAGAGTGTCCCTATGGGAACGTCAGGTTTACTTAGACTGTCTGATGCTGTACAAGAATGGACAAGACAGAATGGGAAAGGGCCAGTTACTATACATTGCATGTATGTAACTTTAAAAAAAAATGTTTTCATAATTTGTTGAAAAATAAAAATTTGCATTTAAGTGAAATGTCAAATTGAAATATCAATCTAAACTAAAGATGATCAATATATTGTATTCATGGCATGTAAATATCCTTTTGTTACATGGTTATAATAAACTCCGTTATAAAAACATAGAAATTTGTGATATATAACCTTTGTAATTCCAATGCCAAGGAAAGCCAACCGAACTAAATTCTTGGAAAAACTTATCAGATAATTATGTTGTTAAATATTGGCATCGACCTGTTATAGACAGATTTGTAAATGTATATTACCAGGAATGGAGCGAGCAAGAGTGGTATATTTTGTGCCTGTAGCTTGTTATTTGAGAGGATGAGGATAGACCTTGAAGTGGACGTCTATCAAACTGTCAAACAAATCAGGATTAACAGACATCACTTTGTTGAAAATATGGTACGTACTTCTGAGTCATACAGTTAACTGATTAAAAATGTAGAAAGGTTACCAAAGCCTCCTTGCAATTTGCTTTCTTATCTAACCAGTTATGGAGTTATAAATGGAACAAGTTATGAGAATATCTGTCAAAATGAAACCCATGTATCATAAATTGAGATAAAACTCCAGATCCAAGCAGGGCTATTTTTGCTTCTATAGCAGGGGCCGTTATAGCGCTCCTTCCCCCCAAAAATACTGTAAAATCATGCAGTTTTCCCCAAAAATTGAACTTACATCAAGTTTTTCTTCCCCTTTTGCAGATATACTGTGTAATTTTCCACCAAAATTAAGGGCAGGGCTGCTTGCCCAAGCTGTGAAAAAAAGCCATGCCAAGTATTAAGATACCGTATAAGTATTTTTTTCTGCGGGAACTTTATTTCTGCTATTTCTGGGGTTCATAAAGACACCGCAGATTTAAAAACCGCAGAAAATTAAGCCTTTTCTTTTGTTTATGTCGAATTTCAACTACCGGGATAAAAACAATAGCATGTGTAGTTATCCACGTTTGTAAATGGGATTTTTATGGGATTTTTTATGTATCTGTCATTAACAAAATATTAGGGAAAAAAAATACTTTTCTTGTTCTTGTTGTTGAAATAGATAATTATCATGTTTGTATCATTTTCACTCACCCAAGCTTGGTGGGTCTTTTTGTGAATAGTTTTAAAAAACCTATAATTATAATGTGACAGGTGATGCAAAAATGCCCCTTGTTTGTTATTTTCAATAAAACCTGCTATAAATACACCTTTATGTATCTGTACAATATATTAAGTCGACGTGCGATTTTGCCATTGTTTATCTTCACACTTCATATTTATACAATTACAGTATTTAATGTTATTTTCTTGTTGTTGTTTTTTACGTGCATATACCGATACATTTTGATTACGACGAAAAACAATATCAGTCGTGGAAGTAATGTTACATTATCAAATATTGAAATGTTGTCTTTTTTATCGGTTAATTTTGTACAAACATCTTAGTTAAAACGCAGAAATAAAACACATCAATGTTAGAATGATAACACCGCACAAATAAAATACGCAGAAATTTAAAACCCCTTATTTTAACAAAAATCGCAGAATATTAAGCCCGCAGAAATAAGTACTTATACGGTAAAATACATGATCTATGAGTTAGGATCAAACCCATTAGCCCACCTTCCTAGCTCATTAGTTAGAGCATAGGATTTATAATCCAGGGGTGGCTGGTTGGATTTTCAGGAGATATGTAATCTGTATCTTGGACATCAGTTTATTGTCTTTTAGTCTCTCAATATTGACTCAAAACTGGTATGGATCTAGTTGATGGGTCGCTTAAAAAGAAATCGGTACTTATTGGATAGTTATCCAGGAAAGGCAGTTAGTTAGACGTACCAAAGAGATGTTTTTTTAATCAGCATAACAACCAACATTCCATCCCAATATTCCTGAGATGAGATCAAACCCATAAAAATAGACTAGCTTTTGCCACAAGTATAGAATCAGGCCAGCTTGCACCTCACCTATATTTTGAGCTCACCTGTCACAAAGTGACAGGGTGAGCTTTTGTGATCGCTTTTCGTCCGGCGTCCGTCCGGCGTCCGTAAACTTTTACTTTAAATGACATCTCCTCATAAACCACAAGGCCAATTTCATCCAAACTTCACAGGAATGTTTCTTTGGTGGTCACCTTTAAAAATTGTTCAAAGAATTTAATTCCATGCAGAACTCTGGTTGCCATGGCAACCGAAAGAAAAAACTTTAACTATCTTCTTTTAAAAAACCATAAGAGCTAGAGCTTAGATATTTGGCATAAAACATCTTCTAGTGTCTACCAAAATTGTTCAAATAAAAGCCCTGGGGTCAAAATTGGCCCCGCCCCGGGGGGTCATTGATTTTCCCTATATGCATATAGTAAAAACTTATAAAATCTTCTTTTAAAGAACTCAAAGAGCTATGGCTAAGATATTGAGCATGAAACATGTTCTAATAGGTGTCTACCAAGTTTGTTCAAAGAAAAGCCCTTGGGTCAAAATTGGCCCCGCCCCAGGGGGTCATTGATTTTCCCTATATGCATATAGTAAAAACTTAAAAAATCTTCTTTTAAAGAACCAAAAGAGTTAGAGCTAAGATATTTAGCATGAAACATGTTCTAATAAGTGTCTACCAAGTTTGTTCAAATAAAAGCCCTGGGGTCAAAATTGACCCCGCCCCGGGGGGTCATTGATTTTCCCTATATATGCATATAGTAAAAACTTAAAAAATCTTCTTTTAAAGAACTCAAAGAGCTATGGTTAAGATATTTAGCATCAAACATGTTCTAATAGGTGTCTAGCAAGTTTGTTAAAAAAAAAGCCCTGGGGTCAAAATTGGCCCCGCCCCGGAGGTCATTGATTTTCCTTATATGTGTATAGCAAAAACTTAAAAAATCTTTTTTGAAAAAACCCAAATAGCTAGAGTTAAGATATTAAGCATGAAACATCTTTTAGTGAGTGTCTACAAAGTTTGTTAAAAAAAAAGCCCTGGGGTCAAAATTGGCCCCGCCCCGGAGGTCATTGATTTTCCTTATAAGTGTATAGCAAAAACTTAAAAAATCTTTTTTGAAAAAACACAAATAGCTAGAGTTTAGATATTAAGCATGAAACATATTCTAGTAAGTGTCTACAAAGTTTGTTCAAATAAAAACCCTTGGGTCATACTGGCCCGGCCCCAGGGGTGTCATTGTTTTTAACTATATGTGTATAGTAAAAACTTAAAACAAATATTCTTTTAAATAGCCCAATGAGCTAGAGCTTAGATGTTTAGCATGAAACATCTTCTTATGGGTGTCTACCAAGTTTGTGCAAATAAAAGCCCTTTGGTTAAATTGGCCCTGCAACGTTTGGGGGGGGGTGGGGGGGGCCTATATACAGGTGAGCGACCTCAGGGCCATCATGGCCCTCTTGTTGCATTTTGATACTGAAAGCCCTTATTGAAATGTTTAAAATTCATAATTGAGCAGTTCTTACACAAATTTATAAGATCCTAGGTTTAAACTTAGATGAAGGTTATAGATACACATACCAATTATTACCTTCTATGGCTGCCATTTGAGGGTCATTCCCAAAACATCTTATTTGTAATTCTGTCATCTTCATGAAAACTGATAAAAATAATGACTGAAAGTTAAAGTATAAAATAATTTGCTAATCACCCTTAATAGCTGTTTATATTTATTTTTATGCTCCCCGAAAAATTTCGGGGGAGCATATAGTCGGCGCTTTGTCCGTCTGTCCGTCTGTCCGTCCGTCCGTCTGTCCGTCCGTTGTCTTGTCCGGAGCATAACTTGAAAACCCTTGGAGATAATTTGTTGAAACTTCATACAGTGGTAGAGGGCATCAAGGGGGAGTGCAGTGTCAAAGAACCATAACTCTATTTTGCCCGGTTTTTGAATTATCTCCCCTTATAGAAAAATCTTGTCCGGGGCATAACTCTAAAACTATAAGAGATATCAACATGAAACTTTGTAGGTGAATAGATCTCAATGGGTAGATGTGCAGTGCACAAGAACAATAACTCTTTTCATCCTAATTTTGGAGTTATTGCCCTTTGTTAATTTTAATACTTAGAACTTTGTCCGGAACATAACTTGAAAACCCTTGGAGATAATTTGTTTAAACTTCATACAGTGGTAGAGGGCATCAAGGGGGAGTGCAGTGTCAAAGAACCATAACTCTATTTTGCCCGGTTTTTGAATTATCTCCCCTTAAAAAAAAATCTTGTCCGGGGCATAACTCTAAAACTATAAGAGATATCAACATGAAACTTTGTAGGTTAATAGATCTCAATGGGTAGATGTGCAGTGCATAAGAACAATAACTCTTTTTGCACTAATTTTGGAGTTATTGCCCTTTGTTTATTTTAATACTTTGAAATTGAACTTTGTCAGGAATATAACTTTAAAACCCTTGGATATAATTTGTTGAAACTTCATACAGTGGTAGAGGGCATTGATGGGGAGTGCAGTGTCAAAGAACCATAACTCTGTTTTGCCTGGTTTTTTAATTATCTCCCCTTATAGAAAATTCTCGTCCGGGGCATAACTCTAAAACTATAAGAGATATCAACATGAAACATTGTAGGTAAATAGATCTCATTGAGTAGAGGTGCAGTGCAAAAGAACCATAACTCTGTTAAGCCTTATTTTTGAATAATCTCCCCTTTTAGAAAAATCTTGTCCAGGACATAGCTGTAAAACTATAAGAGATATCAACATGAAACTTTGTAGGTAGATAAATCTCAATGGGTAGATGTGCAGTGCACAAGAATCATAACTCTACCTTGCCTAATTCTGGAGTTATTGCCCTTTGTTTATTTTTACTTTTTGAATTGTCCAAGACATAACTCGGAAATCATAAGAGATATCATCAAGAAACTTTGTAGGTTGATAGATCACAGTGATTAGAAGTTCAGTGCAAAGAACTGTAACTCTGCCTTGCCTAATTTTGGAATTATTGCACTTTGAACTTTTTCCACAGACATAACTCTGAAACTACAAGAGGTGTACTTTCCTGTGTCCAAAACCTATTCGGGGAGCATCACCCGGCTCAAACCGGGCTCTTGTTTTCATACTTTGTCAATTATATTTTTTAGTCACATGGTACATTTGCATTAACAGTAAGAATAACTCCCATTGGCCTATTGAAAATGAACATTACAAAAAAAGTAAAGGGTAATAATTATAATACAATATATTGACCCCCGAAAGTGGCTGCAATTTTTGGCCAGGGAGGTAAATATTGTAAACATCAGAATATATCTATTATTTAAAATAAGTTATTTTAATTTTGTTACAGGAGCAGTATCAGTATTGTTACCAGATGGCGCTAGCTTACCTAGAGAGACAGCCGTTGGGAATAGACAGACAGACGGACAGACAAAACAATGATAGTATAGACAGTGGTATACAGGATAAACTGTCCTGATAATGTCACAGATTTTTTAGATCTACTAGATAACTCTGTTCAATGTCTGGTTGCTATGGAAACAACTAAACAAAAGAAGTCTTATCCTTGTTGAAGTGCTTTATGATCAAAATGCTAACTAATATGTTGTATTGACTTTAAAATATACTTTAGTTAGTAATAGAGCTTTAAGTTTTAATTTCCTCTATATCGATAACTGGCCTAAATAATGTACAAAGCTGATTTTATACTGTTGACATAGACACAAACAATGTCTTTATAACCATTCTTAATTTAAAAATGAACCCATGCATGTACATAAATGCATTTAATTTGGCTTTTCGTGCTTTTTCGAGTCATATATTCTTATGAATGTTAACTGGTGGTAGATTTAATGAGTAACAATTTATATAAATGGTGAACCTCTACTATTCATTTAAATGAAGTTGAGGGCCCATCACATATCATAGTGCCATAAGAAAAAAAAAATTAAATATATTTAAAGAGTTTATTATTAAACACTTAATAGCCCTTTTTTAAACATTTCCATATTTTATAGTATATATATTTTTTTAATTTCATGTCCACAATTTCTTTTTGAAATACAAATTCTTTATACTTAGTAACATCCAGTTCTCTACTAGTTTATGTTGGCCAAGAATTTTGATCGAATTTCATGCTGTGACTAAGGTTTGATTAAATTTTAGAGTAGAAAGATAAAGGTTTTTATACTTAACATACATGCTGTATGGCAGTTGCATATTCATATTTGCCTTACTGATAATTACTATTGTACTGTATTTTAAAAGATACTTCAAATATACTGACATAGCCTAAGCAAAAGCATTTACTTCTAGTCAGATTGCTATTTTCCTACAATTGTCATTATGGACAAATCGTTTGTCTTTGACACTTTAAATTTCTACTTGCCCATCCATACTTTGTCATTGATGTTTTGTTTTTGAAAAATATTTTCCTAGTACAGTTTCTAATGAACATCATGATCTAAGAAAAAAGAAACAACAAGAATGATTTATCGGAAATGAATTATTGATCTTGTGATCTTTCCACATAACAAAATGATTTTAAGCCGTGAGTATTGGTTGCAATGTATCAATTCGTGTGACTAGTCTCTTCATATATGCTAATTTATTAATTATCTGTCTTACTTACAAACTTTACAAGTGGTTATTTCAATAACTTAACTCCTAAATAATAGTGGGGAGGTGGGGTCAGTGCATTTCCTATATCATAGCATGAACTTTTTGGAGAGAAAAAAAATTCTATAGTATTTAAAAGTAAGATATATGTTAAGAGTTGTACTTTGTTTTTGTTTTGTATGTGTAATTGGGCATTCATTTGTGCAAGAGCATAGAATAGAAATATTATAAATCTTTGTAAATGTCATGCTTTTTATTGGAAAGAACATTTTTCTTGATTAATTCTAATTGACCTAAGTCACAGTATTTCTTTATATCAGTATTTTATGTATATAGTTAGCCTTTATTTTGACAAATAGGTCTAAAATAGCCTAAAACTTGCTATAATCGTTTAATCTCCACAGGATAGTAACATTTTTACTCATTTTGTATTTTTTCTGATTTTTTTTCAATTAATGATTTAAGTAAGTGAAATCTGTTGCCAATCTTTGTTGAAATGAAGTGATTTTTCTAGAATCAAACAAGTACATGTATTTGTTAATAAACCCACCAAACTCTTGTTTTCCCCACCATTGTTAATATATGATTGATTAAAAATTCCATTTTATTATCAGTTGCTATCATTTTAGTTGTTTTTTATGAACATTTACAATTGTTATAAGGAAATGATGCTTTAGAATAGCTTTTAATGCACTGCACTTTATTTTTCATCCTAGAAGTCTGCTTTTTACATTAATAATTCTCTTAAAATAATGATATTGTATTGTATTTGCTGATGAAAAAAAGTTTTGAAGACTTACTGAATTGTTTCATAAATAAACAAAATATTCTGAGATCTGCTGTTTCAACTTTCACAGACATTGGAAAGGACATTGGTTACATACATGGTATAATGTTTTATTGCCTCAAATATCATTGTTTTTGCAAAATTTGGTACTATGGCAAATGACATTTTGTTTTTAATGCAATAATTGGTGAGTTTTTAGCAATAACATTGAGTGTTTATCATATTTTCATGAACATGGATATCTATCTGCATTTTCAGACCTTGAAAACATGTAAATCACCAATTTCATGTAATATGCTAACTAGTTGATATAACAAGCAAATGTGTATTTCATTTCTAACATTGTCACTGCATTTATATAAAAATGGATTAAAAATCCATTTTTTTATGTTTTTGTTTTCATGTTCATAAAGTATTATCAAACTTTTTTTAAATCAAATCTAATTTGAATAATGGAATTATGCGTTTTAATTCATTAGTATATTATTGAGTTCAGGTCACAATCAAAATGATTTTTTTTTGCTTTATCTACAGTGTGAACATGTATGCTGGAAGAAATAATATTTTATGAAGTTTTTATCTAAGACTTGAACATCCAACAATAATAATCAGTAAGTGGAACGACAATTAACAATAATTTTGTAAATGGATTTTGTTTTATAATCTGTACAGTCTTGTGAATAGTGAATAAATCATGTTATATTTTTTGGTGAATATTTTATTCATGTACATATATTTACATACTGTTTATGCTTCGTTTTTTATTTGTTTTAAGGTTGTGTTACAGGATAACATTTTATTGGTTGAGTGTATAGTATACATATGTTTTATGTTTTATATAAAAAGAAAATGTTTTATTTTTTGGTAACTTCATTTTATTAGCTAAAATAGCCATTTCTGAATTTTGAGAAATGTGAATAAGTTGGGTTAAACTGTCATTATGTTATTTTTCAGTAACTTCATTTTATAAGCTTAAGTAGTCATTTTTGAATTTCAAAAAATGTGAAGAAGGCAGGATAAACTGTTACATACAATGTTAATTTATCTTGAGTACTAACTTGCTACAGTTAATACTAGTGGCATATAAGGACTGAATTTTTATGTAACTGTGAATGTTTATAAAATTATAAGATTATTATGTCT